TGCTGCTGCTGCTGCTGCTGCTGATGCTGCCGCTGCTGCTGCTGCTGCCGCTGGCTCGGCATGCTCGGCGCGTCCGTTGTGCATCTCTCCACGCACACAAGCTCAAGCTTGCTGCCGACGCAAACCGCTTCATCTCCTACACCTGCGCACAATGCTGAGCTTGTCGAGTTGAATCGAATCACGCGTCCATTGGAGCGACGAGTGCCAAAGCCTACGCGTTGGGTTCTGCGGCTCGGCCTGCCAGTGCCGATGAACCGGCCGGCCGAATTTCTCGTGGCGCTCTGCGGGCCGTGCAGCTAGCTTTGCAGGCTTGGCTCGTCGTCGGATTCGCTCGGAAGCCTGTAGCCGAAGTTGACCCTCCTCCCGATGGGTGACATTCGATCGGGCCCCTGCTGTCATCTGTCGGCTGTTCAGGGTCCAGCTACGGCTTGCCTGCAAGCTCCACCTTGCAGCATCGCAGCCAGCATCACAGTGTAGCATGGCGGTGGTGCTGGATCCGCCAAGGGTGGCCTACGTCGTCTCGGGCGATCTTGTGCGCTACGCAGACCTGCTGCCCTCCAACAAGGGCCGCTCGTCGCACGTTCACTCGCTTGTCCACCACCTCGACCTGCTCGACCTGTCTACCCTGGATGATGGCAGCGACGAGGCTGACGTCGACACCCACAAGCGCTGTAAATCGGCCGGCTCATCGGAGCGCGAACGCTTCCTCGCGGCGATAGGCGCCGATGTGAGCACGGCGTCTCCGTCAAAGTCGGACCGCAGAAGGGCGGCGGTCTACCTTCCGCACCCGGCCACACGGCAGCAGCTCACCACCTTTCACGGTGAGTCGTTCGTCGACCACCTCACCAAAGGTCAGCATGCTCAAGCGGGCGTCTCGCAGCCGCCCCGGAAGCGTCAAAGAGTGGTCAGCGATGCCGGAACCTCCGACTCGGACTCGAACACGGGCTCAGATTCGGACGTGTCCCGAACCAGCCACGGCAAGCGCACTGCGTGGGTCAAGAACCAGTTTGGGCTTCAAGACGACTGCCCTACCTTTGACGGCCTGAAGAAACACGTCTCGCTCATTGCAGGTGCCTCGATCACTGCCGCCGATCTGCTTGCCACGGGTCAAGCCGACATCGCTATCGCCTGGGACGGTGGCCGGCACCACGCCAAGAAACATGCCGCCTCGGGGTTCTGCTACATCAACGACGCCGTGCTCGCCATCCTTGCGCTACGCAAGCCGCGCAAAGTATTCGTCACCACTACGGTCCCGCGCGGATCGGGCGACGAGGCCACGGTGCGCAAGACGACGATCAAGCGCGTGCAGCGCGTGCTCTACCTCGACCTCGACCTGCACTGGGGCGACGGTGTGGAAGAGGCGTTCCACACGAGCGCCAGCGTGCTTACGCTCAGCATCCACCACTATGCACCCGGCTTCTTTCCGTGCTACACCGCATCGTCCGATTCTCGCTACGGTGCACCCGGCTCGCTCGGTGCAGACCCGGGTGCAGCGGGCACCACGATCAACATCCCGCTCGCCATGGGTACGTCGGATGCAAGTCTGGAGCGCGTCATGGAAGCGACTGTTGAGCCGGTGGTTGAGGCATGGCAGCCCGAAATGGTGGTGGTGCAGTGTGGCGTCGACGGACTAGCGGCCGATCCGATGGCCGTGTGGAATCTCTCCGCCGCTGCATACGTGACTGCGATCCAAAGGGTGTTGGGGTGGAAGAAACCCACGCTGCTGCTGGGTGGGGGTGGATACGATACGGCCAATGCTGCACGATGCTGGAGCTTGATCACCGCCGCAGCATTAGGCAGGTACGAGGATACAACCAAACGACGTGCTGCAGCGCCCAGCTTCGAACCGCACACACTCGTAGACAGAGAGAGCGTAGAAGCAAAGCCGGACGACAATGTGCAAACGCAGAGCATCTCGCTCGAGACGGGTGTGCCCGACCACGCTTTTTGGCCAGCCTACGCCCCACACTACACACTCAACGTCCCAGCGGGCGAGATGATCGACCACAACCCCCCGGCGTACTTTGACGAGATCCACACATGCCTCTCGGCGCGGATAGAGTCGTTCACCAAGTCATCCTGAGCTTCACCGAGTAAATGATGGCTTACGAGGACAGACTAGAGTACATGCGATTGGGGGGACTACAGCGAGAGAACAAGTAAAAGTTTAACGCGACCACTGCTTGGAGCCTGACGATCGCGTGGCATTGGCGCCCGACTTGCGGAAATGGTCTTTGCTGCCGCTACCGTTCTGGTGGTTGCGTCGGTAGTAGGCTCTCCTATCCGACTGCTGTCGCTTGGGGTTGATATCGCCGTCATCTTCACCACCCTCGGCATCCACCTCCTTGCGCTTGCTACCGCTGTCTTTCGCTTTAAGGCTTGTGCCGATGGTGATGTTGACCTTGGGTGGCACCGAGAAGCCGTAGGCCTTGGCCACCTTGGCCAGGTCGAGCTTGTGGATGTCAAAGATGCGCTTGAGCGAGTAGGAGCCGTAGGCCTGGAGGTAGGAGCGGTAGCCATCGCGTGCCGACTGGTGCAGATAGTAGTTCTTGGCAATCAGCTTCTCCAGCTGCCCCTGCACGTTGGCCACCTTGTCCGAAGGGAAGGTGTACTCGTTCAGCGGCACCTTGGCCACCTTGAGGAAGCGCAGGAATCCAAGCTCCGACGGCAAAAGGAAGAGAAGCGACTTGCCTGCATTGCCCGCACGCGCCGTTCGACCCACACGGTGGATGTAGTCGCGCGGGTCATCGGGTGGGTCAAACTGGATGATCCAGTCGACGCTCGGAATGTCGAGCCCACGTGCGGCAACGTCGGTGCACAGCAGCGTTCCCGACGGCGCATTGCAGTACTCGAAAAACGTGTTGGTGCGCTTCTGCTGCTTCTGCTTGCCGTGCAGATCCAGCACGGGCACGTCGATAAAGTTGAGCAGATCCGAGTGGTACTTGACCGAGTTGCACGAGCTCATGAACACGATGATCTTCTTGCCCGCGTTCTTCTTTAGGAACGTGAACAGCAGCAGGAATCGTCGGTCCGACTCGCACACCACATACCCCTGCTCCAGGCGCGACACGGTGCTCGCAGCCAGGTCGGCGTGCACGTTGATGTACAGCGGTCCGGGGCGCAGCGAGATGCGGGCGAGGTCCTGCACCTTGGTGGTCTGCGTCGCCGAGAAGAGCATGCTCTGGCGGTTGTCGTTGGGCAGGATGTTGACGATCTGGCGCATCTCGTCCTCGAAGCCGATCTCGAGGATGCGGTCGGCCTCGTCGATGCACAGCGCCTTGAGGTTGGAGAAGACGAAGCCCTTGGTATTCTGCAGGTGGTCGAGCAGACGGCCGGGCGTGGCTACGATGAGGTTGACGCCCTTCTGCAGCTTGTCCGCCTCCGCACGTCGGTTTGCGCCGCCCATGATGATGCCGAACGTCTGGTGGTGATGCGCCATGAGCTCCTTGGCGACGCCAAAGATCTGCAGCGCGAGCTCGCGCGTCGGCGAGATGATGATGGCGCCCGTGCCGTTTCTTGGCTTGAACTTGAGCCTGTGCAGCATCTCGATGGCAGGGATGAGGAACGAGAGCGTCTTGCCCGAGCCGGTCTGCGCCGCACCCAGCACGTCCTTGCCCGCCATGAGCGGAGGGATGCAGCGCGCCTGCACCTCGGTCATGGTCTTGAAGCCCATGGTGTCGATGGCCTTGCGAGTTGGCTCGGACAGATCGAGCGTGGAGAAAGGCTGGCGCTCGGCAGCCGGTGTGCTAGACGACGATGACGACGAGGCGGCGGCCTTGGCCTTGGTGGAGGACTCGGCGGCGGCGACATCGGCAGCGAGCTGGGAGGCGAGCTCGGCCTCAGCATCGATCTCTGGATCCTTTGGTGGTGCCATGGTTGCTGGTTCCTTCTCTCGGATGATGGACGAGCGATGACCAGATTGGGTATGATGGTGAGAGCACAGGAGGGCGTTGCGGTCGCACTTCACAGCCTCGACCGTAGAGCGAGTGGCCACTCTCTCTCTCTCCCTCCGCCGCCCGCTTGAAATTTTCCAAATTTTCTACGTCCACTCCACGCCCGCCACGAAAAAAATCGCGAGCTTCAGAAAGGAAACAGGCACCTCAGCAGAGAAGCGCAGAACTCGACCCTGGCCGCTTGCTCTGTCTTCCGAGTTCCGTTCGGCTCGACTTCCCTTTTTTCTTCTGCCCAACAGCGGCTTCTTTTTTCTGAGCACTTTTTTTGTGGCCCTGCTTGGACAGCCTGAGAAGCTCGACTGCCGGTTCGGTGTGGAGAAATTTTGTGAGAGGTGGTTGGAAGAGCCGCTGCTGCTCGTGCTGCTTCTTTCTGTCCTGAGTCGAGCCTACGTCCAAGCTGCTAAGAGACAGACCCTTCTCTCCATCAACATCGCATCGCATCGCATCTGCCACCTCGCTCGAGACTGCTCTGTGCTGCGCTCTCCTTGCCTAGCGCCCTTCGGTCCCATCATGCCTTCCAAGGTGGCTACGTCAAACGCTACGCCGGCCAAGGCCAAGGCAAGTGCCAAGCCGGCTGTTGCGACACCTTCGAAGCATGCTGTCGACGCCGAGCCAAACTCGAAACGACGACGCCAGCGTGCCACCAGCGATGCCGATGTCGCCGCGCCCTCCTCCTCGTCTTCCGCACCTGCAGCTCCCCAAAAGATTGTCTCTCGCAACCGCCTCTTTGCGCCCTTCCGTGCACTCGGTCTCATCAGCAACGACGTCCCTTTCGCTCTTCAGACCAGGTTTGGAGGCAAAGACGCCACCACGCCCGACGTCAATGTCATCACCTGCCTGGGCGACAGCTGGGCCATGTGGGACGCAGAGAGGATGACGCTTCTCTTTGTCTCCACCTCGCTTCCCGCACCCATCGCCTCGCTCGTCATCTCGCTCAGCCCGGACGCCGTCCTCGCTGCGGCGGGCACCAAGGTCTACCGCTTTCGACGGGGCAAGGTCGATGCCGTCTACGACACCGTCGATCACATCATGGCCGCCTTCGACAAGCCCAACGGGCACATGGACGAGGACGACGACGACAGCAGCAACTCCGATTCCTCCTCCGATGCGGACGCTACTGAACAACAGGGAACACAGCTCTCCTCGCTCCTCGTGTTCGGCGACACCATCGTGGCTCTTTCCTCCGATGGTCGTCACGTCTTTGTCTGGTCGGTCGGCACTGCCGAGCTCATCAGGCGCATCGACCTGCCCGACACCTTTGTCGCCAGCTCCATCCTTCATCCCGCCACATACCTCAACAAGATCCTCATCGGCTCCGTCGACGGCCAGCTCGCACTCTGGAACATCCGCACCGGCTCTCTCGTACACGCCTACGACACCGAGCAGCTCCGCCTCTCTGCTGCGGGTCCCAACCCTTCCGCGCCCTCGGCGGCCATCGTCAACCTCACACAGTCTCCCGCCGTCGACGTCATCGCCGTCGGCTTTGCGGACGGACACGTGCTTCTCCACGACATCCGCCTCGATGAGAGCCTCTTTGCTGTCCATGTCGCTGGAGGTCTTTCGTCTGGCTCCGTCTCCTTCCGCTCCGATGGCAAGCAGCACTCGGTCGCCATCGCCACCAACACCGGCAACATCAGCATTTTCGACCTCGAGCCGTCCACCGCCTCCGGCCCCAGCTCGGCTCAGAATGGCCCGCGCCTCATCTACTCGATCCAGGAAGCGCACGACGGCGCCGTTGGCAGCATCGAGTTCGTGCCAGGTCAGCCGCTTCTCATCTCGTCTGGCGGCGACAACAGCTGCAAGCAGTGGTTCTTCGAGTCGGCCTCGATGCCTCCGCGTCTGCTCAAGGCTCGTTCGGGCCACCATCAGCCACCTCATCTCATCCGCTACTACGGTGACGAGGGCAAGGAGATCCTCTCGGCCGGTCGTGACCGCTCGATCCGCAGCATCTCGGTGGTGCGCGACTCGCGCTCGCACGAGCTCAGCCAGGGCGAGCTGCAGAAGAAGAGCAACCAGCTTTCGGTCTCGGTCTCGTCGCTAAAGCTTCCGGCTGCCAGCTCGCTCTCGTTCAGCTTGACGCGCAGTCGCGATTGGGACGATGTGCTCACCACGCACACGGGGCGCCAGTTTGCCAACACTTGGACTGTGCGCGACAAGCGCATGGGGAAAAAGCCGCTGCCGGCGTCAGCGGACCGCAAGATCATCGCCGAGGCGAGGGCGAGCTGCGTGAGTGCGTGTGGCAACTTTGGCCTCGTGGGCAATTCCGAGGGGCTGGTGGAGATGTACAACATGCAGTCGTATGCGCATCGCCGCACGTTTGACACGCGTCCCGTCGATCCCCTGGGCGCTACCAAAGCCAAGGAGTTCCCTGCGGGCTCCAAGAAGGCGCAGGCTGCGCTCAATACGCGCGTCAAGGGCTCGGCGGTGACGGGTGTGGTGACGGATGCGCTCAACCGCGTGGCCGTGATCAGCACCATGGACGGCCAGCTGTCTTGGTTCGACTTTTCGTCGGCATCGCTCTTGCATCGCATCCCCATCTCGGCATCGGGCATCTCGTCGATCCAGCTGCACCGCGACTCGAATCTGCTGCTCGTCATCTCGGACGACCTCGTGCTGCGACTGATCGACATCGAGACGCGCCGCGTGGTGCGAGAGTTTGTCGGATTCCGCGGGCGCATTCTAGATGCGTGCTTCAGCAACGATGCGCGCTGGGTGGTGGCGACCTCGATGGATGCTGTGATCCGCACGTTTGACATCCCCTCGTCGCGACTTGTGGATGCCATCAAGATGGCGAGCATCGCCACGTCGGTGGCCTTCAGTCCCACGGGCGACTTCCTCGCCACCGCGCACGTCGACAGCGTCGGCATCTACCTGTGGGCCAACAAGACGCAGTTCTCCTCCGTGGCGCTGCAGGGTCTGGACGAGCTTGCCGAAGTGGTGGATGAAGACGAGGCGGTGGTGGCGCTGCCGACGGTGCAGGGCGATGTGGAGGATGCGGCGCTGGCCGAGTATTCCGAGGCCATGATGCAGGTGGGTGAGCCCGAGCTGCAGCGTGTCTACACGTCGCCAGTGCAGATCGACGACGCCTCGAACGACGGGGGTTTGGTGACGCTTTCCACCATGCCACGCGCGCGCTGGATGACACTCATCAACCTCGACACGATTAAGCTGCGCAACAAGCCCAAGGCAGCGCCGCAGAAGCCCGATGCGAAACGTGCGCCCTTCTTCCTCCCCCAAACCGTGTCGGGCGTCGAGTTCAAGTTCGACCCCACCGCTGCCGTTGCCGACGACGCCGAGGGCGAGACCAAGGCGGACAAGTCCAACATCTTTTCGTCCGCGGGCATCAGCTTCAAGACCGAGTTCCAGGAGCGGCTCGAGGCAGCTGCGGACAAGAACGACGTGGAAGGCTTCTTTGTCTACCTCGAGACGCTGTCCACCCCGCAGTTGGACGTGGAGATCCGCTCGCTCACGGCTTCGGACGACTTGGTGGCATTCCTCAACATGATGCTTGCGCGGCTCGATCAGCACCGCGACTACGAAGCGGTGCAGGCGCTACTGGCAACGCTGCTCAGGGTGCACACCGACCTCATCCTGCAGACGTTCAACCCCGAGATCAGCGACGACGGTGATGAGGACGACCAGATGCAGCTGGGTGCGGACGAGGACGAGGCGGAGCGACTCAAATCGGTGCTGCGCAAGCTCATTCGTGCACAGGTGGCCGAAGGACGCAGACTCAACGGACTCCTCGACCAATGCCTAGGCACCCTTGCCTTCCTGCGTGGCATCCCCATGACCTAAAGTCATCCTTGAAGCTGGATCCGTATGCAATGGCGAACAAAGGCCGAACCGAGGTCGAATAGTGTGAATGTTGGTGTGATTGGATCAGCGAGACGTAAAAGTACATGGGTCGAGAAGATTGCCCGTTCACGCCGAGGGTTCCGAGGTGGCGGGCTGTTGTTGCGAAAGCGCCTTTGCGAGCGCAGCGCGTTTAGCCAAGTATCCACGGTTCCTAGGCGACGAGTACCAGACTATCGAAGCAAGACAAACTCAAGTCAGCCAATGTTCAAGGAGACAGTGTTGGGAAGGGAAGCGAACGTACCAAGGTCCTTCTTTGCGATGGGGTCGGCGGGGCGTGGGAGAATCTTGCCTGCAAATTTGTGTGGTTTGACGAGCGCGCGCAGACTCAAGGGGGTGTAGTACCTGCACTCTACGCTGCCGCCCTTTGCCTCGATGGCAGCGATAGCCGACTGGGATGCGCGCGAGACGACGAGGTTGAGCGGCGACTCGAGATGCGCTGCGCCCTCGCCCAGGATCTTCACGCCGTCCTTGAGCGAGTGGATGCAGCGCGTTTCGTACAGCTCCTTGGCAGTGATGGGTCGCGACGGATCCAACAGGCCGCGATCAATCCAGTGCTGGATCTTGTCCAGGTTGACTGGAACGTACGTCTGACCATGACTACCAACATACAAACTACCTGTCAGCTTCTGACCTGGCGGTGTAGATGAGGAGAGTGAAGGGGGGAAACTTACACATTGTTGAAGCCGCGCTTGGGATAGAGACGGGTGAGCGGAGTCTGACCGCCCGCAAAACCGGGAACAGGCTTGCCGTTGCCCGCGCGTGCTTTCTGTCCCTTGTGACCGCGCGTACTCGTGCCACCACGGCCGGACGAAGGACCACGACCAAGTCGCTTGCGCTGTGCAATCAAAGTCACACACCATCTGATGAGCCTAGAGCTAGCGAAGAGAGAGCAAGATTATCGGGCCGGTACTTACGGTCTTGGTGGGCTGGCCGGGCTGAAGGTTGCCGAGACGAATGCTGCCCGATGCAGGCACGGCGTACGTGCGGAACGAGGAGGGCGTGCTGTTCTTCAGTAGTGCCGACTGGGCCAGCCGAGGGACAACGAGGCGGGCGGAAGGCGCTAGAGTGGCGGTGCGCGAACCCGAGGCGAGTGCGAGTCTCGCGAACGAGCGAGCAAGTGAAGCAGCCGACATGATGTGCAGGCTCGACTGTGCAGAGGTGATGGTGACGACAGGCAAGTGCTTGCGAGCGACGACGACGAGCACAACGACGGCGGTGTGCAGCTGCCTTGCCTTCAGCCTCCTTCTTCCAACTGCCAACTTTTTCTTCCTCTCCGGCACAACATCGGGGGTATCGGGTGAGCGGCAGCTCCCTAGTAGCGATCTAGCCAGATTCAAATTTCGAAAAAGAGAAAAGAAAAAAAAAGAGGCAGGGTGCGGGTGCGGGTGCGGGTGCGGGTGAGTGCGGATGTTGGTGCAGGTGCCGATCCTTGAGCTGCAAGGGCTGAGTTAAAGGGCGGAGCGACTGTCAATGGTATATAGGCGGACCCCTTGGCGCAGCCGTTGTTTGCCTCCACCTCAGTCAAAAAGGCTTTTGAAGGTGCAGCCACGCGATGCAGCTCTGCTGATTTTCCAGCCTCTCTCTCTCTCCTCTGCACGAACCAACGACGGTTTGTTTGGCTGCAGCTCAAACACGCGTCCGCTAGCTTGGCCAGGGCCTCGGCGCTTCCCAAGAAGAAATCCACGCCGCAAATCTATATATTCGCCGTGCCTTCCAGCCGCTGCAGCCGACGCCGGAATATCCACCCAAAAAATCCACATCCCCCGCAGCTCCACCCCCACCCGCTGCCTAGCACAAACCCGCCCAAGCAGAAGGACGGCGCGCGCTTGGACGACCCGCCGTAGCAGCTCGTCACCATGGCCGCCACGCGATTGGACCGACTCGTGTCGCTTCTCGACACCGGCTCCACCCCAGCCATCCGTGCCACTGCCGCCAAGCAGCTCGGCCAGATCGCCGCCGTTCGCATCCGTGGCCAGAGCACACAACATCACACTCCTGCACACCCCAAGCCGCCAAAAACCGAGTCTGTTTCCACGACAAATGGCTTCGCTTCGGGCGTCTCCACGCCCGCGGTCGATCCGGAAGCTGACGGCCTCGTCAAGTCCGAAGACGCGTCGGCTGCGTCATCCAGTCGCGCAGGCAAGTTTGGCACCACCGAGCAGATCAGCAAGCAGCACAACTTTGCCGGCCCCTCTGCCGAAGAACAGCTCGGTGTCTACAGAGGCACCGACGGCGACTGGGACGAGATCACATCGTACCTAGCTCGCGTCGTCCCCTTCCTCCGCTCCAAGAGCTGGGATACACGCGTGGCTGCGGCCCTCGCCATCGAGAGCATTTGTCACGCAGCCGGCATCTGGGACCCAGACATCGAGCCGTCCAAGCCAGGCGAGAGCTCCAAGTCGGTTCTTGCGGATGAAGACGACTCCAAGGACGCCAAACCCGACATCTCGGAGCTGCTGGCCACCGAGTCGCTTCTGACCTTTGATGCCTTCTCGCTGCCCACCGTCCTTGCTACGGGCACCAAGCTCCTCTCGTCCGCAGGAAAGGAGTTCGAACAGGCCTCGCTCGCTGCTGGCGCTGACCGCCTCGCCCAAGCCAAGAAGGATGTGGTCAGCAAGCTCGGTCTTGGATTCGGCCTCGACGAGATGGATATCGGCATGGACGTTGAAGCAGAGCTCAAAGGCGGCGAATCGACCACGGCAGCCTCCATCCCGCGCTCCTCCCAAGGCAACGTTGATTGGCGAACCGCCGCCGGCGGATCCAAGTCCAAACTTCCACCCCCACGCTTCGGCGCCGCCGGCTCTCCGGGCGGTGCTTCGCTTCCTTCACCGCGCTTCGCTGCTCCCTCTTCGCCCTCGCCAGCGGCTCCGACATTTGCATCGGCGGCTACGGCTCCATCCCCGTCCCCGGCACCTCCACCGTCTGCCTCCGAGACGCCTGCTGACGAGATCGACATGAGCAAGCTCAGTGCGCGCGAACGCAACGCACTCAAGCGCAAGCGCAAGCTCGAAGGCAAGAACGGCGCTCCCGAGCCAAAGACGCGCGTGCTCGACAGCGCCGATGCTTCTTCTCCTGGCCTGGCTGCTGGCTCTGGCCTTCGTGTCAAGACTCCGTCCGCTCAGACTCCCGCCACACCCGTCCAGCCGGATGGCGGAAACGACTATCTCTCAGCCGGACCGCCACCCGCTCCCAAGCATCCTGCGGGCGGTCCGGGCTCTCTGCCTGCCGTCACCGGCAGTGTCGGCACTCCGACGCCCATCGGCGAAGCACCTGGCTCCCCCGCCGCTGCTTCGTCCCCCGCTCCTGGTGGTGCAGCGCCCGCCTCGTTCGCATCCACGTCGAATCCCTTCCAGGTACGACCAGGCGAGTGGCCCTTCCGCCTCGTCGTCGACACGCTCAGCGTCGATCTCTTCAGTCCCACGTGGGAGACGCGCCATGGCGCCGCGCTCGGTCTTCGTGAGCTCCTCAAGACTCAGGGCTCGGGCGGCGGAAAGGTGCAGCTCGCCTCGGCCGACGACAACGCAAAGATGCACAAGGCGTGGTGCGACGACATGTCCATCAAGCTCCTCTGCGTCTTTGCACTCGACCGTCTCGGCGACTTTGTCTTTGACCAGGTCGTCGCCCCCGTCCGCGAGACGGCGAGCCAGACGCTCGCCTGTCTCATGCCACACATGCCCGAGTCGTCCATCGTCTCGGTGCACAATGTGCTGCTCCAGATGATCCGCCAAGACCATGCTGCCGAAGGCGCAGCCACCGACGCCCACACCGGCTTCGCCGCAAAGCGAGGCAAGAAGGGCTACGTGTGGGAGGTCCGCCATGCCGGCCTGCTCGGTCTCAAGTACGAGGTCGTCGTCAAGAAGGACTTGCTCATGAACGCCGCTGTTGTCAAGAAGGAAGAGCCTGTGGTCAAGAAGGAAGAACTAGTCGCCACCGTGGACGGCGCATCGGCTGATCCCAGTAGGATGCTCCAGGACGTGGTGGAAGTGGCCATCCTCGGCCTGAAAGACGAAGATGACGACGTGCGTGCGGTCGCAGCATCGGCATTGGTGCCCATCGTCGATGTGATCCTCGAAAAGCTTCCTCGTGAGGTTGGCCGGCTGCTCGACCAGCTGTGGGATTGCCTCGGCGACCTCAAAGACGACCTTGCCAGCAGCATCGGTGTCGTCATGGACCTGCTTGCCAAGCTCGTCGAGCGCCCTGGCATCGTGGTGCACCTTCGTGCTGAGGCAGAGGAGGAACGTGCCCTCTCGCTTCTCATCCCGCGCCTCTTCCCCTTCTTCCGACACACAATCACCAGTGTCCGACTTTCGGTGCTCAATGCGCTGCGCGTCTTCCTTACCGTACCCTCGCTGCCCAAGGATTGGATCGACGAGCGCGTGCTGCGTCTGCTCTTCCAGAACCTCGTCGTCGAGGAGAAGCTGCCCATCCGCCGCGCAAGTGCCGATGCCTGGAACCACGCGCTTGCCCACGTGGCCGGCGATGCCGATACGGTGCGCAAGCTGCTCGGACCGCACGTCGTCAACTTCTTCCGCATCATCATGACGCCGCTCGGGTCTCCGATCGACTTTTCGCTCTTCTACAGCGCCTCCTTCGGCACCAGCAGCCACGCCGATGCCAACCGCCACAACGTCGACAAGGGCATCCTCACGCAGGATCTGTCGCTCGTCGGCGTCGACGCCGTCATCCGTGGCCGTCTCAGTGCGGCGGAAGCCCTCGGTGGCGCCATGGCTCGCTTCCCGCGCCAAGACGATGCATCCGCGTTTGGTGGCGTCCTCGTAGAGTATATCGATTCCACGTCGGCTCTCCAAAAGTGTCTCACCGCCGCCATCGTCCAAGAATGGGCGCAGGCCTCGGCCAATCTCGGCAGCGACTTGAAGGAAACGAGCCCCATCACACCCGATTTCTCCCGCCGCCTCATCAGCGTCCTCGAGACCCCTGCT